ACTATTTTTTTTTCCATTTCAGGCAGGGAGCTGCTGCAATTTATCCTAATAACATCAGAGCACGATTTTCTTCTCTGTATGCTATGTGTAATTTAATGCACATCAATCATATCACATCACCTCTACTTCTGAAAATGCATTTCCTCCTCTAAGCAAAAAGAAACCGTCTCAAAACAAATTAGCCTTTTCTCCTGGGGAGGTTTAGGCCCAGTGCCTTTAGCCTGGGGACTCTCTGGGAATCAGCCTGGTCTATTTGAAGCCGTGCAGAAATATTTGACCAGTTTACCATTTTCCTGCCGTCAGCCGCATCCGGCAAAGTATTGAACTGAGCAACATTTCACTCAACTTGTCTTAAGGGCTGTGTTGAACACCTTCAAATGCCACCACCCCCTCTTCTTGCTGGAAGAGCTTCAGACAAAGCCTTGAGTAAACCTGTATTTAATCCCCAGACTGTGCCTTTTTGTGCTTTTTTTTTTTTTTTTTTTGCTCCTGAAGCACAAATGTGAAGGTTTGGGCATGTGCTTAACTTCCACTTGTATTCTCGCTTGTGGTAATGAGAGGGTTGTGTTATTTTACTGGCATCTTTATTCAACAGACTAAACAAAGGCCCTTCTTTGGGTTTTAGCTTTTAAAGCAACGTTGTGCAACGTTCCTCCCTTCTCACCCCACTCCCCGGCGTATTGGACTTCTAGACCAGGACTGCCAGCCTTAGGGAGGACAGCTTCAGCCTACAGAACGTTGGATCCAGCCCTGGCAATGTGGCAGATTTCAGCCACATCAGAGCAATTTAAACAATTGTGTCTTATGGCTAGAGAGACGTTGTGGGTGCTCCATCACTGGAGGTTTTCAAGAAGAGACCGGACAGCCAATTGTCCAGAATGGTGTAGGGTCTCTTACTCCAGCAAGAGTTGGACTAGAAGACTTTCAAGATCCCTTCCAACTCTGTTGTTCTGTTATTCTCCAAAGCACCTCAGGGCAGGACAAGAAGTAATGGGTGGAAGCTTGTTAAAGAGAGATCCAATCTAGAATTAAGTAGAAATTTCCTGACAGTGAGGGAAATTAACCAGTGGAACAGCCTGCCTCCAGAAGTTGTGGGTGTTCCATCCCTGGAAGTTTTTAAGACGAAACTGGACAGCCATTTGTTTGAAATGGCATAGAATTTCCTGCTTGAGCAGGGGGTTGGAATAGAAGACCTCCAAGGTCCCTTCCAACTCTATTCTAACTTCTGAAGTCCCTTCCAACTCTGTTATCTTGTTATGTGGGCTCTTAGGAGAGACAACTGTGTCCCACAGACGTACGACATCAACATTATGATGGATAGCTGGTTGAATTCAAATTAGTAGTACTTGGAGAACTTGGAGTTTAACTTGTGTAACATTAAGCGAGCCCAGACACCTGTAAGGTGTGCAGAAGAGGAACACAAGTGGCCCATTCTCACTAGGAGAGCTTGGAGAAGGAGAAACATGCCTTACTCATGCCTGACAATCCTTTAAAGTGGACATGCTAAGATCATCTGCTTTGCTACTCACCTGCTGCCACGGGATTCATCACTCGTTATTCCTGTTGCATCTCCAACGGACTTCGCCACCCTTGGTGGGCCTCCTGACCCACCCAAGCAGCAAATTTAACCAAATTCATGAAGGGATGGGGGAGCAAGAGACGAGAAGCAGTTTTGGCATGTTTTCTAGACCAGGCTGGTGGAGGGCAGTGCAAACCTGTGTCTTTGGTTATCATGTCTGATTTTAACGTTTTATGTTTTCACTTAGATGTAACGGTAAGCCCACCCCCCCCCCAGAGTGATCCTGTGGTAAGATGGGCAGCCAATAAAATGTATAAGTAAATAAATAACCATGGTGCTCCCTCCCCAGGGATGTTGTTTAGAGGCTAAAAGTTGAGTATTCTGGGCTATTGTTCCATTCTAGGGGGCTGTTGTGCCAGGGAGGACCTTGTGGGTGCCAGGAAGAGGAGGAAGAGGAGGCAAGAGGCTTGCCAGAAGTAAACAACCTGCCGCTCCCCAAAATGGCCCATTAAGGGCTTCTGATCTAGACCCGTCGCCAACGGGAGAGAATCTGTGCACGCACAAACACACACACACACACACACACACACACACTCTTCTTGCAGTCTCCTCTGGGCCTCGGCTCCCCTTCGGAGCAGATGTCATCATTTTGCGTGCACGCTAGTCAAAATCACTTGGAGATAGGAAAATGAGAGCTGAGGCATGCAGCTGCCGGGCAGTTCTGGTGCCCACTGGGTCTGCCTTGCAAAAAAGAGCGGAAACCAACAAGCAAGCAAAGAGACAGCTGGGAACGTTTGTCGAATGGAAGGCCTGTGTGTGTGTGTGTGTGAGACAGAGTTTGTGTGCATGTGTGTGTGTGTGTGCTCGTGTGCGCAACTGGATTACTTAGCAACAAGGCTGCTGAGGGCTAAGCAAGGATGTGTGCATTCGGTTACCAGGTTCAGCTGCGATGTTTCATTCTTGGGGGGTCAGAACTGCTGAAGGTGCCCTGGCCAAGCTTTGGGGAAGAGCAGGGGGAGGGATTGTTCCCCCCCTCCCCCCTCCCCGGTTAACCTTCTCCCTCTTTGAAGTGTCCCGGAGCTCAGTTGCCCAAAAGGAATAAGCCACTTTGGGGATTTGGCTAGAAATGAAAACTGCAGTTCCTGGACCCATCCACCTGGCACCATCCAGCAAGGTAGAAGACCCAAGAAGAAAGTGCAGGAGAAAAGAGGTATTTGTGGGGCATTCTTGAAAGTGAGAGAGAGGAATCAGAGGACTGTGGGGTCCTTGGTACTCTCTGAACTTGTTTGTTTTCTTAAAGACATCTCATTACCCAATTAGGTAACATCATCCGTTCTAGAAGGGAGGGGGGGGTTTGCAAGGAGGAGGAGGAGGAGGAGGAGGAGGAGGAGGAGGAGAACTGTGGACTCCTTGGTGGTCATTGAGCTTGGTTCCTTTTTTTGCAGATGTTTCATTACCCAACTAGGCAACATCATCAATACTAGAAGGGAGTGGGGTTTGCTCTCCAAGTTCTCTGAGTGAACATCAAGGACCCCACAGTTGGACCCTGACCCACAAATATCCCCTTCTCTCAGTACACTGCTATCATTTGTGTTCCAAAGTGGTACAATCCCACACCCAGAGGGCCTGGATTTGATGGAGATGGATGCATGATGGGTACAGAAGTCCTCTCCACCTTTCCTGGTCCGCCCTGGGGTCAGTGAAGCCCTCACCTTTCCCGAGGCTTCATCCTTCCCTGATTCTGTGACAGTGAATGGCTTTTGCTAAGAGATGCTTCTCGCCCTAAGGATGGATTTGATCGGGTTGCCAGCTTTTGTCAGTGGGTCAATTGACTCTCTGAAAAATGGAGCAGAAGTGCGGTGAAACACACCGCGGAGAATGGAAACGCAAGCTGTGCGTTCAGTGCACGAGGGCAGGATCTCAGGAGGAGCACACAGCAGTAACAAACCTTGAAGGTTTTTTCCCCCAATTTCCAAGACTAATGAGAAAATCCATCTGTTTTCCACCCCCTTATTGTGTACAGGTAGTCCTCAACTTACAACAGTTCATTCAGTGACCACTGGAAGTTACAACGGCACTGAAAAGAGAGACTTATGACCCTTTTTCACACTTGCAGCTTCCCTGTGGTCACAGGATCAGAATTCAGACACTTGGCAACTGGCATGTACTTTTGACAGTTGCAGTGTCCTGGGCTCACGCGATCTCTTTTGCGACCTTCTGACAAAGTTAATGGGGAAGCCAGACTCATTTAAAGACCGCACGGCTAACTTAACAAATGCAGTGGTTTGCTGAACGACCGGCAAGACAAGTTGCAAAAGGGGGCAAAATTCACTTAAACAACTGTCTCGCTTAGCCACAGAAATGTTGGGCTCAACTGTGATCGTAAGTCGAGGACAATCTGTAATGTAATATTCTTCGGATGGATTTCTAATGAACTGGAACTCGACGGAAAACGGAGGCAGCAAAGAGGCACCTTCCTCAAATCTCGTCCAGCAGGAACAATGACCCAAAGCAAAAAAACATGAAACCAGGAACCCAGTGATAGAGGCTTTTTTTTTTCTTTTTTCTAAAATCCATGATTAAAACCTGGTACAAACAGGTGAATATATAGATATATTTCTTTTAGTAGATGTAATTTTTTTTCTCTTTCTCCTCTTTCTCTCTCTCTCTCTCTCTCTCTCATTATACAGCAAATATAGAATTTCTTTTCTCTCTGTACAATAGGACGGTTTTACAATGCAATGTTGCAACAGATCCTTTCACCAAAAAAATAAAATTCTAAAAAAATTTGCACAAATGGGACTTCAGGCGAGTAATAGTCTAAAGTGGAAGACTCCATTTGCAAAAGGCCCAAAGGATTATCTTTCTTTCTTTCTTTCTCTCTCTCGCTCTTTTTTTTTTTTTAACCACAAACGGAAAAAAGACCCTCCTGCTAACTTTTCTAATTGATCTCTTTTGTTCAGCTGTTTTACATTTTGGTTACTGAAAGGATGAAGACAAAGCTGTACAGAGTCCACAAAATTCACAGAATAAGGAGCCATGCGATGCGGTGGTGGTTACGCCACACTCCTTTCATTTTCTGCCTGGCTCTCTTAAAATGTTTGCACTTCTTTCTCTCTTAAAATTCAATTTTACTCGTGTGTATGTGTGTGTGTGCGTGTGTGTTTAAAGAAAAGAATTTGGTTTTTTTCCCCACACCCCACAGTTTATTTTAATGTTTAAGCATCTTTCTTTTCACTGCTCTCGTTTCCTCGCCCCTCTCTCCTTTCTAAAGCCCACCTCAGCGAGACTGTAATTCCGAATAGCGCTCATTCTCTCCTCAGCCTGCTCTAGAACAGTTCTAGGTTCCTCAGAGTTCTTTCTTTTTTTTTCCTCTTTCTTGTAAAGACAAGTCTGGATTAAAAATAATAGCTGCTGCTGATTTTTGTTTCTGTTTTTTGTTTTTTTTGGTCCGTGGTTAAGTCACGAGCCGGTGGAGAACTCAAGACTTGTGCTGGGCGGAAACCCCTTTCCAATAATCTAAGATGTCGTGGAGGTCTTCGTCTTTGGCAAACTGGACCTTTTTGCGCAGAGCGTGGCCGGCCGCCATATATTCCTCCTCCTCTTTGTGGCGCTTGTGGTTCAGTTTGAAACGCTCCCAGATGCTCCTGGAGGGTTTACAAGTGTATTCGGGGCTGGAGGTGTAGCTCAAGTTATGGTACTGTGGAGAGAGCTGCGAGTAGGCCAAGTCTCTGGGGCGAGGCCTGGTCAAAGGTTCCAAGATGGAGGGCTTTCGTGTCCCCAGGCTGTCGTGTTGTTCCCCCTGATGGGACCCTGGATAAGAGTGCCGGTGCTCGCTGTACTGCCGGATCTTCTCGGCTTCGGCTCGTAAGACAGCTGCCGCCGGTGTCACAGTGAGGATGGTGTCGGTGGTTGGAGATGTCTTCTCGATATATTTGGCTTCTGACTTGTGGCCGGAGCCCTCAGAGCGGAAGGACCTGGGGCTCCGTATGGAGCCACTGGAAGAAGTGCTGGACCGTTTAGGAGGAGCCTCAATGCTGTGGTGCCTCTGGAGCGGGTGGCTATAGCTTTCCTTGTAGACGGGCGCTAGGAAGCTATGCTTGCTAGGGATTTGTTCAGACAGCAGCACCAGCTGAGGCTCGGCGGTGGACACCGCTCCTGACTTTACCCCTTGAAAGGAAGTAGATTCTGATTTCAAGGCATCGATGCAGTTGTTGATGATTTGGTTCACCTTGTCCACCTCTTTCGTGATGGTCGAGATCTCCGCAACGGAGCTCTGGCTATCTTGAGGCCTGGGCAGCTCTAATTCCCTCCTCTCAGACTGTTCCCCTGTCCGCACTTCCATGTAGTTGCCCTTCGTGGCTTTGGGGGTCTCGCTGCTGTCAATCAGCTTGTACTGCTCAACTTCTCCCACGGAGGGCAGGTAAGGGATGCGGGTCATGGTCTCACCACCCAACATCTGACCTTGGGAGAGTTGGGAGATGCTGGTGGTCTCCATTTCTGGCCCGTACTTTAACTCAATGATGGTCTTCTTCATATTCACTGCTGTTTTTTTGTGCTTTTCTTCCTGGTGTCGCCTCTTCCGGAGGCAGTAGTACACAACTCCTAGGACAATCACCATGCCAAACAGGCACCCCAAGATTGTCATGATGTAGTGGGTGGCAGTTGAAGGCCTGGGTATCGGCTCTTCGGTGCTCTGTTTGTTGAGATTGATGGTGAGGCAGGTGTAGTTGTACCTTGAGACTCGATTGGAGGACATCACACAATAGGTATAATTTTCGTTTGGGCCTAGATCCGTTAGCTCGATGTCTTCTTTCTTCTTCAGAAGCTTTGCCAGGATATTGTATCGGCCATTCTCAAATTGGGCCAGGGTGTACATCTTGCTGTACGGCACAGGGATCTGCACACTCAACACAGCTGAGTTTTGGGTCACGTGCTTGACTTTCATGGTGGGATACAAGCCTGGATCAATCACTGGGGTGTGCAAGGAGATCTGGGGTGTGGTGCCATCTCCGGAGAAACACTCTTCCTCTGGACAGGGGCTCTCTGGAGGAGAGGTGGTCACTGGTTTTTTGGGTGGGATCAAATAAGGTGGCATGGTGTAGGGCCCACCGGTGCAAAGAGAAGACAGCATGCCCAACGCATTGCGATATCCGCTCCGTCCTTGGCCCAGAAGATAGTACCCAGAGTAGTCGGGTGGAGAGTCACACTGCATGCGGTCGTAGGTACGTGTCATGTTGGTGAAGCCCTCAAGCCACTGAAGGAAGCCCAGGAGCTCGCAAGAGCAATAGAACGGGTTGCTGTAGAGTTCGCAGACAGAGAGTTTACTCAGGCCCCTGAAGGTGCTACTGTCCAGCCGTTGGATCCTGTTCATGGACAAGTCAATGTTCATTATGTTGGGGCACTCCCCGAAGGCATTGGGGGTGACGGTCTCAATGAGGTTCGCCTGGAGGTAGAGGTACTCCAGCTTCCCTAGGCCCCGGAGGATCCCCTCCGTCAGATTCCTCAAGCGGTTGTAGCCAAGCTGCAGCACCTGCAGGTTGTATTGTCCTGAGAAGGCACCATCCTCGATAAACGAGATCTCGTTCTTGGTCAAGTTGAGGTATGTGAGGTTACTGAATCGGCTGAGGGAGGAGAACTGGACGCTCTTGATCTTGTTGTCATTCAGCCTCAAGTCCAGAATGGTGCTGTTGATCTGCTGAGGAATGGACTCGTAGGGGGGCTGGTTCTGGCTACAGATGGCCAGCCACACAAAGCCCTTTTCTCCTTCAATCAGCCAGCAGTCGGCTTGGACCTCGCTCACGTAGAGGAGAGAGACAGCTGCCATATAGGTGCACAGTGCTGATGTCATGGCCCACCGATGGCCTGCCATTGAGAAGGGCCACACCGAGAAGGGGGGTCTTACCCTTGGTCGGCCAAAAGAGGGGAAGAGGCAGCTCGGTCACGGCACAACCCTGCCTTGACTAGAGTTTCTTCAGCAACTTTGTCATTCTTTCTTCCTTCTTCATGGTGCTGAACCATGAAGAAGCATCTGGGGTGGGCTAGTGGAGAGGAACAAAAGAACTTGTCGGTTACCCAGGGTCAAGGTTTCTCACATGCCATCAGCAAAGACTCTGCGGCTGGGGAGTTGACTGTCTCACCATCATCTAAGAGAGGTTTGGAAGTCACTCAGAACATAAGGGCTTTGCTCTCTTTCCCTGGATTGCTTTTTCTGCCTTTCTTTTTGTCATTGGTCTTCATTTGAGTGCTGGGTTCCTTCTCCATCCTTCCCCTCCAGGTCTCTGTTCCTCCAGAGATGTGAAATCACAAGGCTGACCTGCCAATAAACAAGCAGAGAGACAATATCAGCATGTAATGGGCTCTGGGCAGGTAGGAAAGCACAGCTGGGAACCTACCAATCTTTCCTTCTAGAAATCTATGGAGATTCTCAATCATCCAAGTCATGATTGTTCCAGAGGTGCTTTTCCAGAAAGCAACTGGACTTTGTTTCTTTCTTGAAGACGTTTCACTTTTTATCCAAGACGCTTCTTGAGTTCTGAAGAAGCTTCTTGGATGAGAAGTGAAGCATCTTCAAGAAAAAAACAAAGGAAGTCCAGTTGCCTCTTAAAAAAACACACACACCTTTGGGACTTTCCTTCTAGACCAGGGGTAGTCAACCTTGGCTCTTTTATGACTCGTGGACTTCAACTCCCAGAATTCCTGAGCCAGCATGGCTGGCTCAGGAATTCTGGGAGTTGAAGTCCACGAGTCATAAAAGAGCCAAGGTTGACTACCCCTCTTCTAGACGTTGACTTCAGACTTCCCTCTCTAATTGCCACCAACTCCAGCCATCTCAACTTCTCCAAGTTTCCATTTTCCTTCTCGCCCAGGTCAGTTTATCCATAAATCTAGGAGCCGCTAGTTACAAAAAGAAAGCACGGATAAAACACTGGTGACACTTTACATAGGACTAATGTTTTATCTGGCAAAGAAATGGAGACTTTTTTCCCTCTGGCTTCCATTCTGCCTGCAAAACCGATGGTTAACGAGAACCGGGACTACTCCTTGTGTGTGACATAATCAAAGGAGACATCTCTAAAACGGCATGGCAAACATATATTAATGATGAAGTCTCTACTCAATGGCTAAATGTCCATTTTGTATACGTCAGGTGCAGTAAAGATGCTTTAAGGCAGATCCCTCTTAATATTCTTCTTCTTCTCCCTTGCCCTTTCCCACTTTTAGACCTGGAATTCAAGCTGAGTTTCTAGACCCTCGTCTGGCAAACTTGGTTAGATTGACTGCAGAGCTGAATACAAAGAGGCCCTCCGTTTTGACCTGAAATGATGCACTAAGCTGGATTTTGCATTATGCACCAAACTGTTCTCCTGTTCATATTTTATGATTGTATAAGGAGACTCCAGGCAATTTCTTTCTCTTGCTGAATCTCATTTCGTACAATTTTGAGGAAGAAGGGAAAAAAAGGATGGTGGGGCAGGTGAACAATTCCGGGGCGAAACATCAAGAATTAGGAGATGCCAAGGCTGGCAGAAGGATACCAATAGAAAGGAATTTCTGTAGCTCAGGGTTGAAATGAGGGGTCCTTGGTGCTCTCTGAGTTTGGCTGTTTTCTTGCAGACATTTTATTATCCAACTAGGGAACAAAACAGTGCTAGAAGGGAGAGCAGTTGATGGAGGAGGAGATGGAGGAAGAGGAGAAGGAGGAGGACAACTACTGGGTGCTCTTTTGAGTTTGGTGTTTTCTTGCAGATGTTTTATTACCCAACTAGGAAACATCATCAGTGCTAGAAGAGAGAGGGGATGGAGAAGGAGGAGATGGAGGAGGAGGAAGAGGAGGAGCAGGAGCAGGAGGAGCAGGGAGAACAGGAGGAGGAGGAGAAGGATTGTGGTGTCCTTAGAACTCTCCCAGCTTGGTTGTTTTCTTGCAGACGTTTCATTACCCAACTAGATACCGTCATCAGTGCTAGAAGGGAGTGGGCTTTGCTCTCTGTTTATACACAGTTGCTTCTCTAAAGTTTTGTCCCATATTGTTCTAGCAGCCAACAAGAAAGAGCAGATCTTTTTTAAAATTCTGAATTCTTTTTTTTTTATTCTCAATTCGTCTGAAACCAGAAGGGAATCTCCAGATTTACATATGCTGCTCATCCAAGTCTACACCCATAATAAAATTATGCCCTCTTCCACAAAATGTCTGACAGCAAACCTCTCTAGAGAAACCAAGATTGATCATTAATAATCTAACGCTAAAGGGGTAACATCTGTTTTGGACAAACTGTAATGAGATTTAAAACCAAGGGAGAAGAACTCTGCATTAATAAATGACTTGTATGTCTAAACAGTTTACACACATACACACACAGCACACAAGCAATTGATGCTCTCTTTTTTTTAAAAAACCAAACAAACAGTGGGCCTTTTCCCCGGTTCTTCCTCTGTGCAATTCCTATATAATGATTGCTATTAATTTTCAGAGTGGCAGATGGAGCCTAACTTTAACCTTGTATTATTTGAAATGAAAATCCATTTTCAATGGGTTATTTTTTTTTTCTTTCTGAATAAGGGTTTTTGAAAGCTATCTCATTTGAAGGTAAAGGAAGGCTTGCAGGACTAATCCTATCAGCGTCTTCTGGGAAGGAAAACCAATGTCAGTGTGACTGGGCCTTGTCCTGGCATCGCAGATGTGGAGAATGGGAGAGGATCCTCCATTCTTCAAGCTCTCAAGATGGAGAAACACTTGGGTTATGAAGTCCAGTGTTTCTCAACTTTAGCAACTTTAAGAAGGGCGGGACTTCCACTCCCAAAATTCCCAGCCAGCATGCTTTAAGATGGGTCCAGCCAACGTGCATTAAGATGAGTGGACTTCTACTCCCAGAATTCCCAGCCAGCATGCTTGAAGATGGGTGGATTTGTATACCCAGAATTCCCAGCCAATGTGCATTAAGATGAGTGGACTTCGACTCCCAGAATTCCCAGCCAGCATATTTTAAGATGGGTGGACTTCGACTCCCAGAATTCCCCAGCCACCGTGCTTTAAGATGGGTGGACTTGCACTCCCAGAATTCCCAGCCAACGTGCATTAAGATGGGTGGACTTCGACTCCCAGAATTCCCAGCCAGCATATTTTAAGATGGGTGGACTTCGACTCCTAGAATTCCCCAGCCAGCGTGCTTTAAGATGGGTGGACTTCTATTCCACCTATATTAAAGCATGCTCAGTTCACAGAATTCACCATGCTGGCTAGGGAATTCTGGGAGTTGAAGTCCACCCATCTTAAAGTTCCCAAGATCAAGAAACACTGCTCTAACCGGATGCATTATTCAAAGGAGACGTGATTGAGTCACTGCTTCCGTCCGAGGATCAGTGGAAGAAGAACCCCTCAAAGGAAGCTCCCCATTGGCTCTCTGCAGGTGCTCAGGGATTCGCTCCTTCCATTTAGGGGAAGATTGAAGACTAACTCCCTTAAAAATCAGCAGGAATGAGATTCAGTCAAGGCAGGTCAGTCTGACCCCCAAACACACTCAAGAAAATCTTAGCAGGCATCAGTATGAATGATGCTTTCAATTGTGATAGAGGAAGGAAGCATCTCTGCTGGGTTAGGGTGACCACCTGCTCAGGTCAACTCCTAAGTTTAGCCTAATAAAGAGAAGGCTCTGGGGAGACAGAATAGCATCCTCCAATACTTGAAGGATTGTCACAGGGAAGAGAGAATTGATTTATTCTCCATAGCACCTGAGGGCAGGATCAAAAGCAGTGGGGGGAAGCACAGTCAGAAGGAGATCCAATTTGGAAATAAGGAGGAATTTCCTAACCATGCGAATGATGAATCAATGGAACAGCTTGTCTCCTGGAGTCTGGGATGCTCCATCGTTGGAGGTTTTCAAGAAAAGATTGGACAACTAGTTGTCTGGAATAGTATAAGGTCTCTTGCCTTGAGCAGGGGGTTGGACTAGAAGACCCCCAAGGTCCCTCCCAGCCCTATCATCCTATGATTCTATCCATTTTGAAGTGGCAGTCAAAGAGGAGCAGGTGGTGTTCTCCAGGCGTGAGTGAGAAAAACATCAAGTTGTCTTCCTGAAAGACCAATACCCAGGGCTAAAGTGGCCTTGATGTTAGCACTTTTGTTCACTTTTTGGAATATTCCCCAGGTACTCTCAAAGAAACGGGAGGTATCAAAACACAATCCTTGTTGACTCCTGCCTTCCCACTTCTATCCGTGTCACCAGTTGTTGAGGACCGGTTGCAGTGCCAGGGGAGATGTTAGTCTGGGGATCCCTGCAAGAAATCTTACTATCTGCAAAAATGCTACCGCTGTGTATCTTCCCAGGAACAACTGATATGGTGAGTTTCATTCGAATGTCAGATCCCTGATGGAAGGAGAGGAGAATCTGAGCTTCCTGAGGAAATTGTGCAATCTCTGGAGCACAGAGGACAAAACAACCCTGCACTGCACTGCTTATTTTACAGCACGGGTGTCCAGCCTTTAAGATTTGTGGATTTCAACTCCCAGAATTCCCCAGCCAGCATGGAGTTGAAGTCCACAAGTCTTAAAGTGGCCAAGGTTGGACACCCCTCCTTTACTGCTTGAACCCAAGGAAGGGATTTTGCCAGCCAAGGGTCTGCTAGATCCAAGGTTGCTTCCATTCCTGATGAGGACACCTCAACTCAAGGGCCAAGGAAAGAAGAGAAAACAATCCTGAAGCTGGACATGGTTAGCGATTCCAATTCTTTGCCCCAAATGGCCAAAAACAAATGCAGAAGAAGCCCAGAAACTGGGCTCATACGTAGTAGACCATCACCCCAAACCAGGCATTGTCCCAAACAAAGGGAGAGATAAGATGAAGGATAACTGTTGGATAGTCAATTGTATGTTCT